GCAGAGCCTGTGCTGGTAGCGTAAAATACTGGGGTGTTACGGTGCACGCGTGAGAAGCAAACTTCCTACCGAGAGCTGGTTTTGCTGGCTGATTTTAGAATCCTGGAGTGGTTGGGCTTGGAAGGGACCTTACAGATGATCGAGTTCCATCCCTGCACCACGGGCATGGACACCTCTCTCCCGCCAGCCCAGGTTGCTCCAAGCCCCGTCCAGCCTGGCCTAGAACCCTGCCAGGGATGGGGAAACCTCCCTTATAGCGACGAGCTCTTCCTAAACCCACCCTGTTCCAGTTTAAAAGCATCACTCCTCATCCTGCCAGTACCCTCCCTGATGAAGAGTCCCCCCCAGCTGCCCTGTAGCTCCTTCAGGCACTGGCAGGGCTGTAAGTTCCCCCTGGAGCCTTCTCTTCTGAACAGCCCCAACTCCCTCAGCCTGAAAGATTTTTAAGCTGAGACTCAGTTTAAACAGACTGATTTGGAAGGAGGTTAAAAAGTCTCCATCCTAGTCCCGTAAATGAGTATCAGCTCACAAATCACACATGAAGCATGCTGTGATTGATTATTTTTTTTTTAAACTATCATTCCAAATTTTAGTACAACAGTGTCACCTCCAGTGCGTTCCGCCAATCCGAAGAAGTGAGGGTTACGAAATTGTTCTGTATCTACCCTCCTTGTGCTGTAATACATAGTTTTTACTGCATGGGGAAAAAAAAAAAAAAGTCTTTTAGACTTTTAGGTAAGTGTGGCTTTTTTGCCTATGTCATAACATGAGCTGCCTAAATTAGTTGTTTCACGAACACAACATCTCCCCCATTAGAATGAGTTTAGCCTGCATCAAAAGTGGTTTAGTGTTTTATTAGTGTTTTGTAGGGTTGTGGAGATGTCTGTGGCATGTTTGTATACAAATCATAAAGTACGCTGCTTTCAGTAACTTTTTTCTTTCCATAAAAACAGTTACTCTTGATATTAGCCAAGGAAGCAAGAAAGGGTGATTAATGCTTACTGTAGTAAGCATTAGTAATGCTACTGTAGTTTGTACTCTACAACTTGAATTTTGCATCAGTTACTGAAATTCATCAAAGTGGGGAACAACTATAAATTTAATCCTGGAACAGGCTTCAAGACTTTCCATTATAAGTAAAAATTTTTTAAAAAATGGATCTAATGACTTTCATATTAATATATCTTCAGATCTGGAAGCTGATGTAGATTTTTAGTGGTTTTGACTGTGTCACTTGGAAAAGTTTTGAACCCATTGGCTAATTTCAGCCAGTTTGAATGGTGGAAATGTCTGAAAGCTAACAGGTGGGGAGAGGAGGAAAATCTGAAATCCGCACTCTGCTGCGAGAAAAACAGCAGTAAATTAGTCCTTGCTCATTCTTTATAGCAGTAAGTGGCTGCACAGTGGGTATATCTAAAATAATCCACTAGTCACTACATGAACAAGAAACAGCAGGAAAATTGTCTGATATGGGAAGCGGAAAAGAACGGTGGATGTTGTTGTGGATTGAGAAAAGAATTTAGAGTACAAAAATTACATAACTTGGTTTCTTACAGGTGTGTAACTTCAGCTTCTAAGAACACAGCTTGCTGGGGTTTTTTTAAATGTCCCTTCTGTAAGAGTCTCTTGGGTTTTATTTGGGCTTTCTTTAAAAAAACCAAACAATTCCCAGCTGTCCTTTTGTACTGACTTCTCCATAAACCACACTTTGAAGATCTTCAGGCCTTTGCACTGCATTCCTTCCAGACCTGCTTATTCAAAACAGCCTTTTCCCAAATTCGAATGTTGCATACGCTAAGTGCTTCTCTGTATCAGCAGCCTCAGTCTTCAAACAGATCTGTTTTGTAGGGTAAAAATGAACGTAGGAGTTGCCCACAGCGAGGTAAATCCAAACACACGGGTGATGAATAGTCGTGGAATGTGGCTGACATACGCGCTGGGAGTCGGCATGCTGCACATTGTCTTGCTCAGCATTCCTTTCTTTAGCGTCCCTGTCGCCTGGACTTTAACCAACGTGATTCACAACCTGGTAAGTAGCCTCTCTCGTAGCAAAATTGGAAAAGTCGTTCGTACGTGTTTATTTTTAGTAGCAGAAGAAGAGAAAAATAGCCAGGCTGTATGGATAATGGAATCCAGCTAGCCAAAACGCCGCCGTTGCTTGGGTTATCTGCTCTTGGATGAGTTGGCTGGTTTTTGGGAGGAGTGATACACAATCACTTTGGCTTTAAGCAGAAAAGATGTGAAATATTCCTTATGTGGCATTTTATTAAACTAGAATCTGGCAAATGTAAAAGCTTTTATGGCATTGTGTATATTATTAGAGAGCTGTGCTGAATCCATTGAACGTGTTACTTTTTCAATACTTGGATGTTATCTATTAATGTTTCTACGTAAGTCTGTTAGTATCCCAGAATGTTTAATTTCAGCACTTTACCTCTTTTCCTGGACAGAAGCACGTGTGTCCTTTTTCTTCATGTTTTGATTCCTGGTCAAGCAAAATAAATTTTAGCTCAGAACGGCTTCAGCATACAACTTTTGTCATATTACATAAGAAAAACCTTGCTTGAAAGCAGCAGAAAAATCTGGGCTACCTTGACCCAAGCCCTGAAACCATTTTTTATTCAGTGGGTTGCAATTTATATAATAACTTTTGTATGCAAAAGGTTTGGACACTTGAAGACCTTAAGAATCCTTCTGCCTCCTCTCCCCAGGATGCTATAATTTCATTGTAATCGTTTAAAGTAATACAAATATGTATATTGGCCCTGCCAGGTTTAGAGAAAAGGGAGCCATAATCCAGCAATTTACATCTTAATTGAGGTTTGCTAACTCAGCTTCCTGTGATTAACAGTCTTGGAAAAAAGATAGCTTCTTCCTTCTGTAGAAAAATGATGCTAAAGATTAAGGTTGGATAATACCCTCTTGAATCCTGTAAAAAAAATACTAATTTTATTTTTGTAGGTAGGTTTAAAACTAATTGGATTGCAAGCACCATTGGAACAATTTGTAGTTATCTTTGACACCATGAGACATGCCTGCCTGAGGAAGATCTTGGCAGAGACGAGCATTACCACGTATTTCCCAAAAAGCTGTGCTGAATTCACGGCAAGTAGCTGTAAAGACAGCAAGGATGAGAGCGTGCACTGGCAGATAGTTTTCTAGTAGAGCACTAGAAGAGGAGTATAAACTGCACTTTTGGATATTTCAGCATTTATGCAGCCCTCTTTTTGGGGAAGAAAAAATAAATCCTCGAGTGGTTTGACAAACAAAAAAATCTTGGGTTTCCACTAATGGGAAAGCTTTTAGCTGACCTTGAAAGCATTTTTGGTGGTCCTTTCTGCAAGTATCAGTGTGAAATAGAACGCGTAGGAAGCATTTGGAACTGTCTTACAGGTGCCTTTTTTGTTATTAAAACTGAAATGCTGCTAACGCCATGAAACAGAGAATTAATTAAGCAAATTAATTCTCTTGGATTAATAGGCCTCTGGTCAGGAGGGCTATTGCAGGAAAAAAGAGGAAGAAGGCATGAAGCGACTTGCTCAAGTTTCATCTCCATTTTTTTTATATAAAGCTTTCCGTAACAATTTCTGTATGTGCACAAGAAAGAACCGGAGAAGAAAGAGAAGGAAGTCCTTGCTATTTTCTGACAGGGATGTTGCTTGGAGTCGGTGTGCTCCTTTCGACAGAAAACAAATAACAAATGTTTATCAAAACTCGAAGCAGGGGGCGGACTCCCCCTTGTGAGATCAGCGCGCCCAACCTGATCGTTCAGAACAGACCATTTTACAATGCGTTGAGCAATGTAAAGGTTATTAAAAAAAAAAAAAAAGGCTAAAAGTGCCACTGTGTTTGCTTTTTCTTTTCCCCAGGGAATGTATGTGTTTTTGCATGCAGTAAAGGGAACTCCTTTTGAAACACCGGATCAGGGGAAGGCTAGGCTGCTAACGCACTGGGAACAACTGGATTACGGAGTCCAATTTACCTCTTCGCGAAAGTTCTTCACAATCTCTCCTATAATTCTGTGAGTTCAAAACTGTGTTATGGATTGATTGAATCATAAACCCATGATTTCAAGAGCTGCAACAAAATTGCAATTTACATTCTAAAAGCATTTTATCTCCTTTAATTTTTTTTTTGTTTTTTGTTTGTTTCTGTGTCACAGAGGTAGGGAGTACATAGAATCAACAGTTTTTCTTCCTGCAGCTCTTGACTCTGGTTGACCTACTGAAGTCAAAGTTTGTAAACTTGTTACTAATGGGGCAGGTTTGAAAGATTAGAAGAGTTGTGAGGAGAACTTGCTGTTAAGCTCGCTGAGAGACCGTGAAGCCATAAGTATCGAACCTTTTTGTGAGGTGCGAGGAGTGTGGCAGTCCTCCCTGAATGGGGGCCAGGATTTTGCATGTCGGTTTGGTTTTGAATAGCTTGTCTTGTGTTGATGCTGGTTATGTAAATGGATTGGAAATTCGGCACTGCCCGTCTCTGTTGACAAAAGCATGGTTGTGTCACTGAAGGAAATCAGGTACTTATTGAATATCCAACTCCACTAAGTCTTTCTGGTTTTCCCTGGAGGAAGCTGCCTGCTTGCATGGCCCCGGGTGGGCTATTTGAGACAGGAGTGGATCAGTTGGTAACCAGTCAAATATCACGATGACTCCAGCGCTTTTTCCAACTAGGCTTTGTTTGTTTATTTTTTAGGGTGTCGTCAGCTAAGCTTTGCTCCCTTTTCTCCTGCAGGTACTTCCTGGCAAGTTTCTACACCAAGTATGATCCAACACACTTTATCCTCAACACGACTTCTCTCCTGACCGTGCTTATCCCCAAGCTGCCCCAGTTGCACGGCGTTCGGATCTTCGGCATCAATAAATATTAAGCAGCAGGTGTGACACCGACATGGCTACTGCTGCTCCCCAGGTGAAGGAAACAAGTCGTCTGCCATGCCGTGAATCTGATTGTATTCAACAAGAGATGCTTTTACACCTGAGGTACAACTCCTAATTCCCGCAGCATTGTCTGGGATGACAGTTGACTTGTTAAGAAGACGCCTTCAAATACTTAAAATGTGAATGGGAGCCCTCTGGAAGAAAGATTTCCGTAAAGAACTGGGCAGAACTGTGAAGACTCTACGCGTGCCTGCCTGATGCAAGCGGCGTGTAG